GAAGACGCCCCCCCCGATCTTTGCAACCGTTCACGACGCTTAGATCCAAGATCCCCAACAAACGTCACAACATGCTATCATCCCGGCCTCTCACGGTCTCATATAACTCTCGATTCCGACAAACAGCAAGACGACCAGCCCCTCGACCTCGTCAACCTCCAGGACTTCGACTTTGACTTGTTCACATCGGAAGACAGCGCTCAGTCTCAGTCGCTCTACACACTCGCTCCCGACTTCGCCCTCCACTACAAAACTCCTGCGGCGGCCTCACCCATAGCCACACCCCGGAGGCCTCGCACCACCAACTTCCTGGCGCTCCCCTCCTCGTCGACACCCACCACGACATTCGACGAAACCTCCCTCAGCATCAACAATCTTCCTGATCTGATGCCGTCGGAAACATCATGGGCCTTGGGCAACCAGTACACGTCCAGGCCCATGGGCCGCCTCCCCCACCAGCGTGAATCGTCGTTGTCTTCACTAGGCTCCGCCGGCCCTGCGTCCCCTTACAACCACAGCACGTCCAACCCGCAGATCGCCATTACCGATTCAGCAAATGACCACTACAACGATGCCCAGGCACATGACGGAGGTGCTCAGTACTACCAGTTGAGCAAAGCCATGAACGGTACTCAGGAAGGTGGCTTGTACTCCAGCTATCATGCATTTGGCGGAATGGACCACTCCGACATGGGGTATCCAGTCGCTATTGCAATGCAACGGCCGCGGACGGATAAGTCATTACTTCCAGCGCCGGAATTTCCCGTGCATTCAAGATCTCATCCGACTTCTGTGGCAAGTTCAACGGCGGGCGGTGATTCACCAGCTACACCCACGACGGGCGAACCTGACGACGACCGAAGACGACGAACTGGTAAGTGGTACATGTGGCAACAGGGAATGCACTCGAATACTCACACGTCACCCGCAGTTCTCCCGGAACCGCCCAAGCTAGATCGCACCATGACAGATGTTTACAGCGATGAGCTCTACAGTCCCAGTTTCAACATTGTATCCGCGTCTTCGCCCCAGAGCCAGCTGGCCGTGTCACCCAACAATGATCTATTCACACAGCGGCTGCAGGCAGCCAATAGCCAACACCTGAATGCTGTTCACTCTCCCACCTCATAGGGACACGGGACAGGTCACCCTTCCGTCACGCTCCCCACTGCTCCTGGTACTGTCCAAGACTTCACGAACAACATGCAGGCATCACGACT